CAAGTTTTAATGCGGAATCCGACAGATCTCAGTGAGCACAGTCAGATGCCGCAATCAGAAAAAAAAATAAAAAATTCTGGGCATTTTTTAGGAGCATCCGGTGTTGCCGGTTCACCCCCCCTGGACCGGTCCGGCCCCTGTTGGACCGGGGCAAGTGATCCGGCCGGTTGCTGGCCCAGCCTTGATTTGATTCATATTAGGAGAACATGGGGATCCACTGAGAGTGGGTCTTACATGTATTTTCCTGGCTTGCAGATGGAATAGGAACAGGACTCAAGGACTGATGCTCCGCAGAATGGATACGGAGCCTGGTCCACAAGGGCCTGCTTTTCGGGGGGGGAAAGGAAAAGAAGGATAGCTGGAGGGCAAAGCAAACACAAAGAAGGTGAGAAAAAGGGGGGGGGGAAGACAGCTGGATGCCTACTGACAGATTTCCAAGCCAAAAATTGACACATTGTCACGAATAGATAGCAGGATGAGCAAGCCGGAGAATGGACTGAGCTTCCGCTGTGCGTGTGCTGCCTATGTCCGATGACCTTCAATTTGAGGGTCTTTAGAAGATCCGAGTTCAAATTCCGAGCTGCACCGCTTGTTCAGGGCCAAAATGCCAGCGAGTTAGGACTGCTGACAAGGGGCCTTGATCTACCACTTTCCAAATGTGAAAACGATAAGAAGTTGGCGAGCGTGTCTTACCACCTTTTAGGCGAAGATACACTTGCTGTCGTAAGCATTTGGTGAGGAGTGCAGTGAGGCCCAACATCCTCAAGAATTTGCTTCACTCTGTGGCTTTTATCTATCTCTGTCATGAACTGAGGGGCATTCGCAGCAAAAATCGGTTCTTCGTCTTCTTTGTATTTAAATTTTCATTTTGTTTTTAAAGGCATAGGGCCCTAACATTATTGAATCCATCAGGATTTGAGCTAATAATTTGTCTATTTACAGTCACATGTCTGCACAAGCCACATACACCATGTGATCTCCTTCAAGTAAGAATAAAGTAAGCAGTTCACTTTTCCCAAAAGGAGCAGAAGAGTTCAGAAGACTCAAAGAGTCAATACCTGCATCGCTCGACGAAGAAATGCGCGCAGGCAGGATTGCTTCCAAAGTGCAGATGCACATATGATGCCAGGACATTCCCTATTTGGTAACCCTCCTGCTCCACCATGGCTCCAGGATACTGCAACTCCATAGAATATCTGCAAAACCCAGCCAGACAGAAAGATTGAGCCTGTTCTTCTCCCCCTGCACCCCCCCCCTCTACCCAAGGAGTAGCCCCCAACCTTATTTTATCGAGCTGACAAGGTCGTGATTCGAGCTCATGATCTGTTCATCGACATATCACCCACATGGATCGGGATGCACTGAGCACATTTACATTGTGAATGAAATCGATCTGATGATTCTGATGAATTTTTTTCCTTTTTTTCCTTCAATTTATTACTAGGTTATGCGGAATAATAAACTAAAGTTACTAAACAACTTTTGCCTTAGGGTGACACCAAAATTCTTTGCCAAATTAAAAATTAAACTTTAGGACAGTTTATCACTGTTTATGTAAGTTTAAAGTTTTTTTTTGGGCCTGGTCGGGCAAGTGGTACTGGGCCAATCTGGTCGCCTAGATTGAAAGGCTAGAAACCGGGTCCAGCTCATTACTCACTCGACACTTACCTCTCCATCATGGCCAAGAGACCCTGAGACAGCGGCATTGATTGCTTTCGGAACAGGAAGGATTTACCACTGCCTATAAGCTGTACAGCTAATGCCCCTGGGGTGTCTCAAGTGGCTAATCCCTGAGATGCCCCTCTCAACCTTACCTGGCTGCCTGATATTCCCGTTTAATTCACGAGCTGCTGCAGTTAACCAGAGTGTTGTTTCCTCTTAGAGGGCATTGTCTCCGAAAGGCTTCCTAAGAATAGATCATGAACGTTAAAAAATAACTGTTATACAGTATTATACCCCATAAAGTGGCATATACACCTTTTCAGTGCTCACATAGCTGTTTTGTAGTGGCACAAGGGTACCTGTTGCGTCTTCGCTCGCAAAAAAAACAAAACAAAAAAGCGATGCCATGAAGGGCAGTGGGTTGTTTTTGTTTCGAGACTCTCTCTCTCAAATGCATGACCCCAAACCAAGCCCATGCAACTTCCTCCTCTCTCTCTCTCTCTCTCTCTCTCTCTCTCTCTC